ATATGTCTATAACTAACTGACTGACACATGTCCCGCTGCTGTTGCAGTCAACCACCTTGGACATGGTGAAGCAGTGGGCGACAGATGTGGGCGGTGGAGATTGCAACAGCCATGATGACAGCAAAGGCCACCTCAAAGCGCAGCCGTTCTGGACCTGATGTCGTCTTGACTGAAGCGGATCATGGAAACAAAGGCGAAGGGGAAGGGGGGCAAGAAACGACGGTGGTAATGGATGCACGTTTATTTTGGGGTGGATGCACATGCAATGTGATGGACAGCTGCATTGTCTTCTTTTGTGGAGGTGCCTTTTCTTAGGGCTGAAGGCACGTTCGTATCACATGGTGGACAGGGTCTTGAGACGGCTTGGCTTATAAGCAAATCCGTATTAAGACACTATTCATCATGTGATAAGAACACGCCTTCCTAGATAGGATTGGAGGCGTGTCCATATGGCGCGATGGACATTATGAAAAAGCTTAATTTTGGACTGAAAGGGGCCTTCATATCACGTGATGTATATGTTTCATTTTATGGAGACGGCTTCTTTTTGGACTGAAAGGGGCCTTCATATCACGTGATGTATATGTTTCATTTTATGGAGACGGCTTCTTTTTGGACTGAAAGGGGCCTTCATATCACGTGATGTACATGTTTCATTTTATGGAGACGGCTTCTTTTTGGACTGAAAGGGGTATTCAAAGCGTAAGGGACGTTCATTCTGAGCTACCTTCATTATGTAATGAAGTGGTCCTCATTCTAAATTGAATCATGGCCCTCGATTTGGTGTGGAATGAAGGGTACCTTCATGAAGGTATGAAGGGTCTTCATTAAGGTATGAAATGAGTGTGAATCGCATATAGAATGAAGGCTCCAGGTTCCCAGAGTGCAGAGCACATATGCTTGCAGAGCGCATATGCTTGCACATCGCATATGCTTGTACATCGTATATGCTTGCAGATCGCATACGCTTGCACATCCCATATGCTTGCAGAGTGCATATGCTTGCAGATTGCATATGCTTGCACATCGCATATGCTTGCAGATCACATATGCTTGCAGAGCGCATATGCTTGCACGTCGCATATGCTTGCAGGTCGCATATACTTGCAGAGGACATATGTTTGCAGATCGCATACGCTTGCATACCCCATATGCTTGCAGAGCGCATATGCTTGCACATCGTATATGCTTGCACATCGCATATGCTTGCACATCGCATACGCTTGCAGATCACATATGCTTGCAGAGCGCATATGCTTGCACATTGCATATGCTTGCAGATCGCATATGCTTGCACATCACATATGCTTGCAGATTACTGCATACTGCATATGCTTGCAGATATGAATATATGAATGATTGCAGATATCATATCATAGCATAGCGCAGCATAGCATAGCATAGCATAGCATAGCATAGCATAGCATAGCATAGCATAGCATAGCATAGCATAGCGTAGCGTAGTGTAGCGCAGCATAGCATAGCATAGCATAGCATAGCATATGCTTGCAGATCGCATATGGCATATGCTTGCAGATTGCATATGGCATATGCTTGCAGATCGCATATGCTTGCAGATCGCATATGGCATATGCTTGCAGATCGCATATGCTTGCAGAGCGCATATGCTCGCAGAGCGCATATGCTTGCAGAGCGCATATGCTTGCACATCGCATATGCTTGCAGATCGCATACGCTTGCACACAGTGTTTTTTTTTTAAGTAATATATTACTTTTTAGGAATAAAGAGCCTTTTTGGCCTTTGGAAATAAGGAACAAAGTGAGGCCGATCCGTACATTTTCATTCCTTCAGCCAAAAACGTCCATTGCTGCCAGATGCTCCGTAGTGTGCAGAATTTAGTATTATCGATCATAAAATAGATATGAGGGCCCGTAAGAAGGTCAAGCCCGTGAGTCAACGCGGCATAGCAGAATGTATGACCGGTCCTTCCATAGACAAACACGCAAAAGGCAACGACTTGAACGCCGAACAAACACAAAAACAGCAAGATAAGTCTGAAATTTTTCCTGATAAAGGCGTTTAGGACGGCGGTGCTGTTGTCGGTAATGCATCGGCAATGTTGCTGCCAGCGGCGACCGATGACATGGGCGCCATTACCCCTGCCTTCCATGGCGGTTGTGATCAGCATAAGCGCAAGCTGTCACCCAATCAGCTTGACAACAACGAATGCGGCGAAGTTCCGTGACGCACTGAGGAAGTGGCTGGACAGCAGCAGCAGGGGCCGGTACATGATGAACCGGTAGAGTCCTAGTGTGCTGTGGTTTGCAGTGGCGGGTGACGGCCTTTGATTTGCTATGCGGTTGCTTGCTTTGGGCCTTTGCTTGGTCGGATTTACTTTTTGTTCACAAACAGTGCCAGAACTATCTATGCATGTGCATGAAGCGTGCGCACATGAACGAAAACGCGCCAACGCAGTGTGTGCCTCTTGGTCTATGAGGGGAGTTGTAACTTATCGGGGGGGGC